ATATTCTTGAACTTGTACATACCAATAGTTTTGATTCCAAAAATGTCACATCTTTAGGCAGTGCAAAATACTTCATAATACTCATTGGCGACAAATCGGCAAAAATTACTGTATATGCCCTATGGAAAAGGTCTGACTCCCTTGAAGCATTTAAAAAATACAAATTTCAGGCAGAGAAGCACACAGTGAAGCAACTGAAAATACACCGAAGTGATAATGCCAAACAATTTAAAAGCCTCGAATTTGTTCAATTCTTAGAAAAAGAAGGCATTAAATGGAATCTCAGCTGAGTATAGCCCATAAAATAATGGAGTTGCAGAGCACACCAATTGTACCCTAGTTGGAATGGCCAAATGTCTGCTGTTAAAGTCAAAATTACTCCAGAAATGATAACAGCAGCTTATATACATAACCAATGTCCTATTAAAAGAAGATCCAAAATGCTCAAAGAAATTTGGTTTAAAAGATACCTGATAGCATCGCATTTAAGAATCATAAGAACCAAAGTTTTGCATAAACCAATTCGAACAGGAAAAATAAATTTCTCCCAAACAGCGAAGGCTACATTCTTATTGGATACTCTGAGGAAGCAAAAAATATTGTCTTAGGAAACCTGGAACTTATGAAGTAATAAAAAGTCATGCTGTCAGATTTTTGGAACTGCCAGAAACTAAAGCAAGATCAGAAATTTTAACAACTGACCAACAAGAAATCATCAGATTTGTTCCTACTGAAGAAAATTCAGAAACCAACTAAAATTCTGAAATGCTGTAAACTCTGAATTTTTTGCATATCCAGAAACTGTAGAGAAAGCTTTATTCAGATCGATGAAGATAAGTGCACAGCAACTATGCAAGAATACAATTTTTTAATGAGGAACAATATGTGGGAATCAACTGACTTGTCATACAATAGAAAAGCAACTGGATGCAAATAAGTATTCTGAGTAAAGAGCAAGGTGGATGGCACAGTCAAATGGTGAACAGTTTTTCAGTCAGCATTTATATGAAGTATCACGTGGAATTTTTGGAGCCAAGTACACGCCGACAACCAGTCAAGTTAATCACCTATTATTCAAGTTATGTTTCCTCACATATCATAGATTGGTATATCTTATTTATCTGCTTATTTGTTACGCTCAAGGAAAGCACATATTAAAATTTATATTTTACTTGCATCAAGTACGCTTCTTTGGTAGGTAGCAATGTTTTGCATTACGCAAATACTCTCAACATCACCAAAAGCCAATTAACATCTTGTTATTTATTTGTACTTTTATACTATTACAGATAAAATAAGTATATGTAGTTATAAATGTTAATTCAAGGGAAGGATCAGAATCATGACTTTATGGAAAGTAATTAATGTATACCATATTTATAGATATGATGATACATTTCCTATTAAAAAGTTAAACTTCTCAAAAATCGCGGGGAAGTGATGAAAAGGAAGACCACCCACTTCATAGTTGGATCGTGCGGAAAAGAATTTGAAACTGATAGAGGTAAATCAATGGGAAGCTGTGGTGCCGGATAGGGTCAGATGGAGAAAACTTAGAGAGGCAGCCTTGGCCTGTAATGTAAGCTGTAGAGCTCATGAAAAAAAAGAATTAATATATAGCAAAATTTGAAAAGAACCCCCAACAAATTTAATAACTGCACACAATAATAATTCTAATTAAATCTTAGTATGATTTTTTTAAAATAAGATTTATTATTCACCTTTTTTTTTTTTTTTTTTTTTTTTTTTTTTTTTTTGATAAATGTGAAATGATGTTGAATAACTTTCTTTTCCTTTCTTACTTTCCCCCGTTCTCTTTTTTTTTTTTTTTTTTTTCTTATTATTATTCATTCAATTTTCGCATGTTTTTGCGAGATAATCCATTTTTTTACCGGACTAGAGCAGTTGTATATTCATTAGATTTTAATTTAATAGCTAAAATGCTGTATTAATCATAAATATTAAATTAATTAAACAAATTTTAATTTTGAATGGTGATTGGACAACAGCTTATTGCACTGCAGGAAATGATATGAGATAATGCAGATTAATTTTAAAGTGATGCAGTTTGTAAATTCCAGAAAGTGGGCACAACCAAACTAAAATCAGGAATTAAAAGGAATATTTCTAAATTACGGTTAATAATTTTCTTTCATATTTTATATCTTACATACACACTGACGAGCCGAAACATTATGACCATCTTCACATTTTTCAATGAACTTATCTGGATGATGTGGAAGGCATGTGGTTAAGTAGGAATGGTATTAAACTGTTGCTTGACGAAGGTAAGAAATCATTCTTATACTTCCTTTTGAAAGTGATAAGAGAGGCTGCTTGCTGGTCAAAGTGAATTTGACAGAGGGCAAAATTTAATGGTCCAAAGACTCGGAACGAGTCTCTCCAAAACTGCAAAATTGGTAGGTTGTTCACAATCTGCCATTGTTATTATTTATGAAAAGTGGATAAATGGTGATGAAACCAACAGTAGACTCCTCAACAAGTAGTAGGATAGTTCAACAGTAGACTATCCTATCCATTAATATACACTTTTTTGATGGCAGGATCTCATAACTTTAAAAATAATCTGCATCTGGAGAAGGCAGATATCAAATTTTAATATTTTGTTTTTCAAAATCCAAGAAACGTTGGATGTTCATTCATCATCAGACAAAAAGGATGTCGGAGACTATCCCACTTGGTACAGCAAAATCAGGACCAGACAGTGGCTCAGCTGACTACACGATACAATGCATGTCCAAGTGTAAGTGTTTCAGAACACACAGTTGTTGAAGATGGGACTGCGTAACAGACATCCCACTCGTGTGCCTCTGTTGACCAAGCGTCATAGTGAACTATGCCTATAGTGGGCCTGGGAACATTGAAACTGGACCATGTACAAGCGGAAGACAGTTGCCTGGTCGGTTGAATTACACTTTCTTATTCAGTACGTCAATGCTCGTATCAAGGTACACCACCTTCCAGGCAAACAATTGCTCCCTTCCTGTACAGCAAGCAGGTCATACGCAGGCTGGTGGTGGTAGTATTATGCTTTGGGGATGGTTCTCATGGGCAGCTGTGTTACTTTTAGTTGTGGTAGAAAAGACCATAAAAGGTGTGGACTATCTGAAAATAACTATGGATGAGTTGCACCCTTGCATGATTTCTGTCTTCCCAACTGGAAATGGAATCTTCTAGCAGGATGTCACAAGAATCGAATCGTGTTGGAGTGGTTCGAGAAGCATAAGGATGAATTCCAATTAATGTCTTGTTTGCCAAGACATTAATCTAACTTGCCAAATCTTAACCTGATAAAGCACATATGTGATGTCATGGAGCAGAAATAATAAGTTTAAATGAAATGCAGGAAAAAATGAGTATAATTTAATATTCCATACAAGGAAGTCATGTGGTGGACACATCAGATTTTTTTAAAAACTGTAGAATAATCAACCCAATATAAATTATAACAAGGATTAAAGGTACTCATGTATTATCTCAGTGATCATGACGCTGTTGCCAAACAGTATGATTTAATGCTAATTTTGCATAAACATGGCATAAAAAAACACTCATAACACTTGTACAGTCTAAAGTCGTTAATTCGGACACCCATAATCCGGACCTCAAAGCTAAAAACTTTCTGCACATGCGCCGCGTTGACACGTGCGCATAGGCGTTTACGCGTGCACGTAAGACCTTTACGACTGCGCATATGCATATGCGCAAGTGCAGAATACGTTTTTGCGTGCGTGTTTAATGTATAATGGACGGTATAAGCTAAAATTATCTATTTCAGTTAATGTTGATGATTGCGTTGTTCTTTAATCTTCGAACTGGATCCAGCTTATTACTTTTTTCAGACTGTAAGAGCAATTTTATAAAAGTAAACTTGAACTTCCGATTATGTCAAATAGAATTTCCGATGCTGGAGCTCCCAAAGGATCTACAAAACGAAAGTATGTTTCGATGTCCATCAAACAAAAAGTGGAATTGCTGCAAAAAATGGATAAAGGCATGAAGAAGGTGACAGAGAGGTTAGTGAAAACGAAAAAATTTCGATTGACAAGTTAGTCGGTATTCTCGACACAGCAATTACGGGACTTGAACAGCGGAACTTTGTAACTGAACAAGAAATTATGTCTGTTTATAGAATTAAAGAGAAAGTATTATCACATAAAAAGAAGCAACTTGAACAACTTACATTGAAAGAAATGTTTAGTAAAGTAAACAAATAAATATTAAGCTTTTTTTTTGTAAATTTTGATACTCTTTAGATCATAATTGTTCTTTATTTCATAAATTACGGTTTCATACTTTTAATTTTAGAATTTCTGTATGCCATCTTACAAGATTTAAACTGATGATCTATAATCCGGAAAAATCGATAATCCGGAATCGCCGAAGTCCCGACCAGTCCGGATTAACGACTTTTGACTGTATTTTCATTTGATGTAACAGAACTAATTTTTTATAAGCCACCTTTTGTTTTTGTGAAAAAAATATACAATTAATTCTTAATGCTGTACTCTTTCTTGGATTTTGAAAAACAAAATATTAAAATTTGATATCTGCTTCCTCCAGATGCAGATTATTTTTAAAGTTATGAGATCCTGCCATCAAAAAAGTGTATATTAATAGATAGGATATGCTCAGCTGCATACGGCTGACAAAACAGCAGCAGTTTGTGATCATCCCATGCTAAACAGAGCTTCCAGTTACATGAAAGGGCAGAACAAAATAGAAGAAATCGAAGAAAGCCTTTTACGAAGCACAGAAATGAAGCAGGTAGGAACACTGATTGTTTATTAAATAAAAAAGGCATCGATTAATTCAGAATTCCACAGTGAAAACTCACACTCAATGGGATAATACATAAGTATCAGATAAAGCATAGAAAAGATATTCCATAAGTCTATTTACCAAATCTGGCAGAGTACTTTTATATAACTTAACCATAATTGCAAAGCATATAAAGTATTAAATAAATACATACATACTTTTAATGTTTTTGACTTATTCTGCTTGTATGCATCTAATGTAGTGATAAAAGCTATGTAATCATTACTCATCATTCTACCTAGGCCTATGACAAACAGTAAAACATTACATGTGTAATTCAAACAAAATAAAACAAAATTGAGAAATTTTTTGTTATTTCTTAAAATTTTCATGTACACTGCTCTGATCTACTGGGCCGATTGATGATTGCGTTCTTCATGTCTCGAAAGCGCGACTTAGGATATATATTAGATTTATATATAGCACTATTCTAACACAGGTATTTTTGACACAAAATCGGACTTTTTCCGAAATAACATACCAATTTTTTTACATATTTTGATTCTACAACTCAAATTACGCCTAAATATGAAATTTTATAAAATCTGGAGCAAAATTTATGGAGAAATTCACAAATTTATGTTGGCACTTTTTTGTCAGTTTGTGCCAAGAATAGTTCACTTGGCGAACTTCTTAATATATGGCAACCTAGTTTCCTTTTCCGTGAGAGGGAAAAAAAGTCACCATTGTTCCTTTTTTCCAAATAATATACTTTATATTACATTTTTAATTATAACTTATTATTTTAAGTATTTTTTTCTTTTTTGAATTTCATTTTAATTGTTTAAGTTGCATGGTATTTTTCGAATAACTGTTTTAAAAATTTCTATTTACCTATTCGAACTGCATAAATAAAGGTGCAGCGTTTATTTATTTATTTATTTTTTTCAAATAGTTTTCTTTCTATATATTTTTGTCATACTTATTATTTTAGGTAATTTTTAAATTCTTATACTTTTATTTTTATTGTTTGTGTTGCATTGTCTCTTCAGATAATTGTTTTAAAATTTTCTATTTATTCCTTCGAACTGAGTCTTTTAAATATATTTATTAATATAAATTTTCCAGAATTTAATTTTATTTATTTCAATTGCGTTTCTTTCGGAAGAATACTTTGAAACCCAGACTAAGATGCATTGGAAAACTGCAAATATTTAAGGAGAAAATACAGTAAAGCACAGTTAACACGCCTTTCAATGTTCCGTTCAGAAAAGATATATAAATAAGAGAGATGTATAACCGACATTTTAACTTAGGATGACTTGCATACACTGCTTTAAATAGTTTTATCATTGTGCCCATTGCTTTACGCAATTTTATCCTACATTTGGTTTCTTAAAATGTTACTCTATTTTAGTCAAATATTTTATTTTTGAAATCGCAAGAATCAAATATCATAAGATTAAAAGGTTTTAAATTTTAAAAAAAATTCAATTTTACGCAAAAATGTATTTTTTCTTCTCTTTTTCTTCAGGCATTCTACTTTATTCTTGCTCTTTTTCTTTAGGCATTCTGCAAGTATATTAAAAAGAATACAACTTTTCGAAATATCTTGGTATTTCTGACTATCATTTTAAATAAAGTTATCTCCTTCCATTTCATAAAGGCCCACAAACGGCCGAGCGGTAAAGTCGCTGAACACTGGTAGTTCACTCCGTGGTTCAAATCCCAGTAAACGGGCTGGTTGCATGGGCGTTTTCGTGGATATTCTTATGTGTACCATGTATGCCAGCTGGTTTCCCTTAGAAAGTTCTTCACGAAGTATTTGGTCAGAGCCTTTATCAGTTTTAGAGGCTAAACATTTTGAAGGTTGAGATGAAAGGAAAGCCTGGTTTCTCAAAGAGTTTTGGATTATTAATTAAGACCCAAGCACAACTAGGGCTATCTGCCTAAGGGGAGGGATTCCTTCGTGGAGGACTTTCTAAAGGAAATGGCTCGCATACACGTTACCATGGTGAAAAACCACAACGCCATGCAGCCAGCCCGTTCGCGGGGGATTCGAACCTCGGACCGAACTACCAGTGTTCAGCGTCTTTACCACTCGGCCGCTGTCTATCAGGAGGAAAAAAAAACATTTTTAGGTGCATCCACATATATCACTGGATAAACTCCTGAATCTCAATAATTCGACTGAGGAAATCAGGGATTCTCCATTTATGATCATATGATGTTCTAAACGTAATTAAATTTATACAACCATATAGTCTAAAACCAGCACTCTTCATTTAATCTGAAATGATATCGTTTTTGTCTTTTCTGTTAACACAGATCAATGAGGTTATTGGTGATGCTGTGTACCGTCCAAGTGTTTTTCTCTTTGAACACCTAATGTCTTTGAAGTATCCTGAAGTATATTCAAAATGTCGAACTTTTTTATAATCTTGTATGTCTGACACCAAATTCCCTGCAAATTTTTGCTTACT